TTCTCTTTGAAATACATTTTTAAAAGGCTGAAAATGAATACTTGCCTTTCAGTAGAGTGACGATGGTGGCATACTGTGTATGGCTGGGTATTACAGATTTGTCTACGATTATGCTGTACATGATTTCCTCTACCTTGCCACCTATTTCTCTTCATCTCTGTAATGAATAAAGATACTGTAAAATACAACGTAAGCTTTTTATTTTGAGTAATGTTGACAGTTTTGGGAGTCAATAATCTACCAGAAAAAAAATAATAAGCATGTGCAGTTAAATATTAAAAAAAAAAACAACTTGTAGCCATAATTCTGATCTGGTAATCTATCATGGACAGGGGAACTTGTTCTACTGCGCATACAAGACTCTTAATCAGGCACAAATTGTCTATCAGGCTGCAAACAAGTTCTTCAAATAGATCTTTTCTCTGTACACTTTTAATCCAAGTCTGCAATGTATTCAAAAATTATGCAAGAGTACACAAATAGTCCCTGTCTTAGGAGCACCCCATTTTCAATACATGTCATGTACAATGAAAAGTAGGGAAAAAAAGGAAAAGTCAAACTTAACTCCTTGTAAGTATATGGACATAAATATACCTTTTTTTTTTTTTTTTTGGCAACAGTACAGAAATTGTTGCTGCATTTTTGACTTCCCAGTCTAGCCTACAGCCTGATATTACCTGGTGGCCCCCAATCCAAGAACTAGCTAGGACTGACTCTGCTTCTGAGCCCAGTAAACTCAGGCAGGGGCTGCCAGTTACTGAAAGGTGGTGATCTGCCTTTTTTGAATTTGTTTCATTTGAACTTCTGCAAATATTAGCTTTAGGGGTAATCAAGCTGGGGGCTTATCCTGCTTAACTGAGATAAATAAAGCATCAAGATAAGCTCCGCATGGCAGTGACTTAGGCTATTCTCTTCACATTATTACTTTGCCCCAGTCCCATCTTGCCTCCAAGGATTTCTCCCTGTCCCCATTTTATTTTTACAACCATCTGCTTGGTTGGCTCATGCAGAAAGGGATTACCACACAATCATCCAGAGACTTTTAGGGTTTAGTGATGATTTGATTCTGAGCTTCCTCCACACCTAGCCTGACTCTTCTCCCTTTTCCAAAGGGCTTCTAAGTTCAAGGAAGACGGTAACAAAAACATAAGCAAAGACTCTCGCATATCAAGTTCAACGTTTGATAACCCCACAGACACATCCATCTATTTTTCTCGGCAAAATTTTAAGCAGTTTGCTATTGTCTTCTTCCAGGATTTTAAAAAACTTTTTTGTTTGACAGCCTTCCATCCAAGTCCGACCTAGTTTTTCAAAACCAGCTAAGATCAGCTAAGTGACGCCCACGATCGTGCATTTATACAGTTCGCCTTTCAGATCATCTGCTCAGTGCAGGAATCCAGTCCAAAGCCCCCACGAGAGATGGTGGCTGCCCTCTGTTTCAGCCTAACCGCCTCTGAGAGCCCCCTCATTCCTGGGTAACTACTGCCTTGTGAAATGCCCGTCCCTCGCTGCCTAGAGACCTTAGAAATTGCAGAAGAGCCCTTCCGCTTTCCTCCAATCTAACCGCTACCGCTGGATACGAGGGCGGGGAAGGCAGTTTAGGCCCCGTCCTGCCTCTTTTCCTCGCTGCAAAGGCAACGGACCTCACCCCCGCCACGCAACGGCCTGACCCACCGCCCGATAATTTCGTCCCTGCCCTTGGACACTTCCACCCACCTCTCCGCCGCTGGGGATTTTCATTGGCCGATAGCGGGCGCCTATCCCTTTGCGCGTTCTTCCCACAACGCAGAAACAGAAGCTTCCGATCTCTCCCTCTGTCACGTGGCCGTGCTCACTTGGCCGTAGAAGGGGCGGGTCACGCGACTGTCCGGCGGTGGAGGGGGAGGGACCCACTGAACACGTGCAGAAGTATGCGGGGCGCTGGGCAGAGAGGGGTTTTGATTGGAGAGTGAGGGAATGCGGTTCTGAGAACAGTCAGAGAGGTACAATAAAGGGTTGGAGCAGTGTTTCTCAACCTTGGCAGCTTGAAGATGTGTGGACCTCAATTTCCAGAATTCCCCAGCCAGCTGGCAGGGGAATTCTGGGAGTTGAAGTCCACACAACTTCAAGCTGCCGAGGTTGAGAAACACTGGGTTCGAGGAGAAACTGTTAGGATTATAGAGGTTGAAATATACATTTTCTAACAAATTTGGTTGAGAAGACCAGTTTGGAAGCCATGTCTCCGAAGCTATAAGTATTGCTGCACATGGCTTCTGTTTCATGAGTGCTTTAAGGCAATGAATGAAAATCCTACCAAATGAGTAAGGGAAACTGCAGAATGAGCATATTGTAGTCCAGCTCTCAGTGACCTTTCTTTGATGAAGAGGTACTAGGAGTTTTATTGTTGGGCACTCCAAACATCTCGGATTGATGAAATAGCTTGGTGGCAGAGTTTTATAAAGTCCATTTCCCTGCAAGAAGAAGTAGGGAAGAGGCTTGCTATTTCTGTGAGGCAGGCTTACCTACGAAGCACCTGGAAATAAGCCAGATAACTTGGGCTAATAGAAAAAGCAGCATTAATCCTGCTGCCTCCTCAAGAGCGGGGAGTGGTCTGTTTTCATTTTTCTGGCTCTTTCTTTCTACCTAATTGCCTGCAAAACCTGAACTTCTGCCTCCAGCCTTGGTTCGGTTCCAGTGCTAAACTTGCACCCTTCAATCTACAGCTCAGAAATTATAATTTGTTCAGAGCTGCTAGCGATCAGTACACTTTTTAATAAGTTTCTAGTCGCCATTGCTCCCCTGAAGTAATGCTTTTAGTTCTGGGTTCTCCAATGTGGGGTGGGGGTGTGTGATAGCTGTCAAAACTAGCTACTGCTTTGCCAGGGCAAGTCTGCAGCAGGGAGCAAAGTTCAAAGCCAGTTTTCAGAGAAGGCTAAACCCATAGATCTAGTCATGTGACACAGCCATGCCCAATCAGATGGTTTCTTGTTGGTTTCCTATCCTATGCATTAGTGATGTTCTTTTTTTTTTAATTTATTAAGAATTATAAATGAAAAAATAAAAGCCAATACAAAATACAAAAAATGTAAACAGAAAAATACAAAAGAAAGAAAAAAAAAGAAGGGAGGGGTGTGGAAAAGAAAAAAGAAAGAAAAGAGAGAAAAGAAAAAAGAAGCAACTTCTCCCTTCATCCCAGCAAGTAAAGACATTTTTAATAACCTATCACCATCTCTAAATACAGCATAACATAAGCTCTCTTCTTCCCATAGCTCAAAATCCAAATGCTTTATCAATCATTCTTTGTCAGTAAAAGTTCAGTACGGGCAACCAGATATAACTATTTTCTTCTTTGAGCCCTGATCAAACAAATCAACCTTGTATTCCTTCCCAGAGTTTTTAAAAATATTCTTTAACCCCTTCAAAAAGAGTCCCAGAGGGAGTTTGCTGGTCACCTGTGTTTCAGAACTTTACAGGTTTCTTTTGTACATCCAATAAATAGATTTTAAACTTTTGCTTTCACTTGTAATAAAGTCTTTCAAAACCTTAATAGACCTCTTTTGTATATCCAGTAAGAAAAATGATTCAAATCATTTTCCTGGTTTGATATCTGTATGTGTCCTTTAGGGAATAAGTTATTAGGGAATAAGTCATCCATCAGCTCCATTTGTGTTAGATTTAAGTCTCCCTTCCAAGTATTTTTATAGATATCCACTGCAGTTTGTTCTGGTTCTATAGCTTCATTACAACATACTCTGTCCATCCTATCAAGCAATTGATCTATTATATTAAGAAGCTTAATAGAGAAATATTCAAAAGTTGGCAATATAGATTTCTGCTCCATATTCTTTATCCTCTCAGTCCCTCTAATGTCCAACCTTCAAGATCTCCATATCATTAAAAAAAGCCAAAACAGTTGCCATTTTCTCATAAGAAAATATCTTCTAATTAATTCAAATTCAAATCCCTCTGGCCCCTGGATTAATTTGGGAAAGTAATCCATTGTTTACTTTCACAAATCCATATGTTAAGTACCCTTTTGCTGCATAAAAAAATCATAGATTTTCAAAACTTTTAAAATCAAATTTATACCATCGTCCTCTAAGGAGGAGGAAACTTACCCTATGAGTACAGTAAAGCCTTACTGGTTCGAAGGGTCTTAATCTCTCCAGTAAACAGAAACAAAAAAATCCAAAAAAGTGATTAAGAAATGAGACTCGGTCGAGTTTCATGTCTATAAAAGGCTGCTTTGCGAGTATGAGCTTGATGTAATCCCAACTCCCAGCCACTCCACTCATAAGACGACCACAAAACAGCAGTTTCTGTGGCCTACTCACGAGTAGCAGCTGTCTGGAGTCACATGGATAATCTCAATGATTTCTCCTTCTTCCGAAGGAATTCCACCAGTCCAGATCCAGTATCCAGCCACAATTCCCCTTACAAACATTGTCCTACTAACGAGCAGGACGTCAACTCGCCATGACGCTCACATGAAGTGAATGATGTGTGTTAGCGATGTTCTGTATTTTTATCTGTTATTTTACATGTCTAGTCTTTCTTTTTGGATGGTTTAGATCAGGGTTTCTCAATCTCAGCAACTTTTAAGATGTGTGGACTTCAACTCC